GATTTTCTCACTCCATCACTTAATACCACATCCATACTACGGGCAAGTGTCATTCCTTAAACCCCTTCTAAACACCAACTCCGGCCAGAAATCCTTCTCCAGTTTCACCCAGCACCACCCATAAAAACAAGGGGCAGAAGAAGATTTAGTTTTTGGGAGCATGGCTTCAGCAACAACAGAACCAGCAGAAGCCTTCAAGCCCTACAAGCTAAAACATAACCTAAGTGGCCACAAAAGAGCCATCTCCAGCGTCAAATTCTCTGATGACGGCCGACTCCTAGCCTCTGCCTCCGCCGACAAAACCGCCTGCACCTGGTCTCCTTCCGACGGCTCCCTCCTCCAAGAATACCAAGGTCACGACCAAGGAATCTCCGACCTCGCCTTTTCCTCCGACGCCCGGTACCTCGCCACCGCCTCTGACGACAAAACCGTCCGCCTCTGGGACGTTGCCACCGGAAGCCTAGTCAAAACCCTCTCTGGCCATACCAATTACGTCTTTTGCGTCAACTTTAATCCTCAGTCCAACATGCTTGTTTCCGGGTCGTTCGACGAAACTGTTCGGGTATGGGATGTTAAGTCGGGGAAGTGCTTGAAGGTTTTGCCGGCGCATTCAGACCCTGTGACGGCGGTTCATTTTAACAGGGATGGGACGCTGATTGTATCTAGTAGTTATGATGGATTGTGTAGGATTTGGGATGCTTCAACTGGGCATTGTATGAAGACTCTGATTGATGATGAGAATCCACCTGTGAGCTTTGTGAGATTTTCGCCCAATGGAAAGTTTATCCTCGTTGGAACTTTGGACAATACCTTTGTAAGTGCTCTGTGTTTCTTTTCTTTTTTTTTTCCCTTCCTTCTTTTTCCTCTCTTTTCTTATGTTGCATTGCTGGTGTCTTTAAGTGCAATATTGGATTTTAAAGTTTCTGAGCATAATAGTCTGTTGTGACGATTTTTTTGGTGCATCAGTTCTTCAATTGTTTGTTATTGCGTTTGTTAATTTCTTCGGACTTGTTATGGATGAACTTGTTGTTATAAGAGGTATTTGAGAAGTTCATCACGGGCTTCAAGTTCATTCTAGTAGTCGCAAAGCGAGAAAATTTGTAATGCTGGCCATTGTAAATGTAGTAGCATGGTAATAAAACTGATTGTGCTCTGTTGTTAACCTGAGCAGAGACCTAGTCTGTGTTTTGATGAAATCCTTCATGTAAAATGCAGGGGAGATTGCAATGCAATCTTCTTGGAGTAGAATACCTAACATTGCCTTAGTTTGGATAAGTGAGGGTGGTACAAGCAAATTCAAGCCTTGTGATTATATGTGTAGGGCTGAGTTTCTAAAGTCTTAAGTTCAAGGCATGCATGACGCCAAAAAAAGCGTCAAAAACATACTGAACCTAAATATTGTGGCACATACTAAATATAGTCCGATGCCCACTTCTTGATTAGGCGTGGTGCAGCAGGCTGATTTTTGACATGTTTGAATGTACTAAAACGAGTGCAAAGGAAATAAGAGGTGCTTATCTTATGATCAATCATAATTAATAGATTATGAGGTAGAGACACAGACATTTTGTGCTAGTACTTTTTAGCATATTCAATCTCATTCACTTTGTGCTAATACTGCTTTTCTGATTTCCTGCTGCTGGCTACTATCCTTGGCTGCTCTTTAGAGTCAGCATGGTTACAACAATCCAAAATCTCACTTGGTGTGTACAACACATAATTCAGACTGTGGATATGAGACTGCATCATGGTGAATGTTGCATTTTCTCGAGTGTTGGATTTTTGTGGTTGTCAAATATGATGATCTTTTATCGCAAGCTTTGTGCACTGCCTTACTGCATTTGATCATATATTATCATCTAAGGGGCACAGGCTTGAACACCTCTGGGTACTTTCTGCCAGGGAATAAATTTCTTTCCGAGATTTATTAGAATGGTATAGTTCCATTTAATGCATGGTGCCACACTATATGCTGTTTCTGGTAATTTGCGGAGTCCCGTTCCCACTGTTTCATACTGACATAAGTGCAACGGTGTAGTTTTTGGGGCTTGGGTTCAAGAAATGCTGAACTGTTATCATACTATGCAGATGCTTTGAATTTTGGGGATCATTTTGCATGTATGTAAAACATTTTGGTGTGGTTGCAGCGGCTTTGGAACTTCTCAACTGGAAAATATCTGAAAACCTACACAGGCCATGTCAATTCAAAGTATTGCATCTCTGCTACATTTTCGGTGACAAATGGCAAGTACATTGTAAGCGGTTCAGAGGATAATTCTATCTACTTATGGGAGCTTCAGTCAAGGAAGATTGTTCAAAAACTGGAAGGTCATACTGATACTGTCGTATCTGTATCATGTCACCCAACCGAAAACATGATAGCATCTGGTGCTCTCGGAGAGGACAAGACAGTCAAAATCTGGACTCGGGAGGACTGAGTTTGTGACCAGCATAGGGGATTTAGTAACATTGACAAGTCCTCTCTCCTGGTCGTGAAATTTGACTTCCCAGTTGGTGAAGATGGATTGCTCGTGGCAAGGATCTCTGATTATTTGTAGATGCAGGTAGTTATTCAAGATAGTCTATTGTAGCCTTATTGTTTGTTTTCTGCTCATACGTAATTTAGTGTGAGGGGAAAGTGTCGTTCTTCTGGGAGCTGAATGGACAAAATGGTTAATTCATCTGAACGACAGTGTTCTATTTCCCCCGTTCACTATGCATCTTGTGTTAACAAAACATGGGGGGGGGGGTGAATTGTTTCATCATCTAGACCCTCTGGTGGTTGTCGGTACATGAAGTTAGACATTGAGATGTGTATGTTGCTGACGAATGTTTTCTCTGATGAACTGAGATTTGAGATTGCAACTTTGGATGTTGCTATCATTTTTGTAAGCAACCTCTGTTATGTGAATCTCTCAACTTGAACTTAAAATATATATATATAAAAAGAAAAGAACTGGTCTTGGACTCTTGGATTCTACACGGCAAGTAGTGTATAGAATTGTGGGTAACAGTAGTGAATCCTTTTGAGAAAGTAGTATTAGAGACATCCTTGAATGCCATTGAAATGCAGGCATCTCCTTTGCACTTAATATATTAAGCACTTCTTAATTTGCAGATAAGATTTCAAGTGAAAATTTTTTATTGAATTTTGTGAATTGCTTGTACATATCACACCCCTTACACATATGGTACACTCTTGTACACATATGCTCTCCCACAAAGTATATATTTGTTCTCAGCACAGATAGACATATTAAGTACTATCTCTTAATTGTTCAATTATTTTTTCTCACACTCATGAATTTTCTTTTTTTCCAAATATACAAATGAGGACAATTTTTTTTTAGGGAGAGGGGGGGGGGGGGAGTATATAATATTTGTGCAATATTTAATTCAGTGCTATAATTCAATTTAGTTGTGCCTGTCTCAGTGCCTGTTTGATAACATAAAAAAGTGCTGAAACTGAATTCATTCAGACATTCAGATGTTGTGGGTGTTTGATAAATAAAAATTCACCCGCTGAACTTATTAAGTGGTGCTGAATTTGTATGTATTTTTTTCAGCACAAGAATCGTAGCTGAATGCTTAATTTGATAAGAATCAAGAGATTTACTTCAACTACTTTATTTTATCTACCAAATATATCCTTGTTTGTTAATTACATTCAAAATCCTTATCTAATTAAACAACCTAATATTCCCTATTCAAAATCCTTATCTAATTAAACAAAACAACCTGATATTCTCTATTCAAAATTTTTTTTTAACAATAGTATTTTTTTGCAATAATTTTCATCCACAAACATTTATATTTTGATATATATATATTTTTTTGCAGATAACTATTATTTATGTGATGCAGCTTATCCACACACACGTGGCTTTATGACACCATATCGAAATATTAGATATTGGTTGTCTGATTTTCGAAATGCTTCTCGTCCAAGATGAAAAGGAGAACGCTTTAACCAAGCACATGCAAGATTGAGAAATGTAATTGAACGTGCTTTTGGAGTATTAAAAGCTCATTTTCCCATTCTCAAAACGATGAAACCATACCCTTTCCCCACACAAAAAAACATTGTCATTGTATGCATTGTTCTTCACAATCATTGTCATTTTCATACCTAACAATTTTAAGTTAATTAAATCATAGGTTCTATTTCCTTTTTGGATTAAAAGATAGAAGGGCAAAATTGTACAATTTAGCTTATTAAGCATTAAGTTATGAATATTTATCAAACAGTATAAATAGATTCAGCATTAAGATTCAGATATTCATATATCTCTTTTCAGTGCTTAAAATTCAGCAAATTAATTATTTCAGTATTCAGAATTCAGATTCAGTGTTATCAAACGGAGCCTTATAGTATATTCTATTCACCAGTTGATATATATTCTAGAAGATTTTCAATAATATGATGCGTCATTTCCCAAGACTTGCTCCATCAGAGCATCCACAATGCTATTACACTTTGTGGAGTGTAATCCACATGCCACGTCAGCATTCCACTTTCTCCTCTTTTATTACACTTTCACTCACAATGGATTACACTCCACAAGGTGTAATAGCATGGGTCCACAATTAATCAAATATTTATTTTAATAATGCATAACTCATATCCCATAAATAAATAAAGTAATTTTTAAAACTAATTTTGTTATTTTTAAAAAATAAAGTACTAACTTTCGTTAAATTTTGTACATTTTGAATTTTTTTATTTTCTAAAAATGATATTATTAATTTTTAAGTTTGAATAATATATCTTTTTCTATGTTTCAAAAATAATATATTGTTATTTTTTAAAAAATAATTATGTAGGAAATTAAACAAATATTTGATACTTCAAATGCGAAGATATCATAATAATCCATACTTAATTAATAATTCGGAATATAATTAGTTGAACTCCATAACATAATATTACATAAGTTAAATCAAATAAAATACAAATAGGAAGAAAATTCAATGGATTACACGCATCACCTGTGTGATGCGTGTAATATCCATGACACGGCTCCAATGGGGAGCCGTGTCATGGAGGGGTGTAATGGCTCCATTGGAGCTGCCCTCAGTTGAACGCTAACTTTGGTGATCTCACCAGAACAGCATATGTGATCTCAAGCCGTCATACTCGTTCAATCCCTGCGCAAACGTTGCTATTCTGGTAGTAGTAGTACTTTCCAATCACTCAAGTTTTTCCATTGAAGACTCGGACCAAACGTCACAATCCCTAAACGTTGCTATTCTGGTACCACTTTCCAACCTCCAATCCACAGCAAGTTTTCCCATTAGAGACTCGCACCAAACATTTCACAATTCCGGAATAGAAAAGATGAGGAAGGAGGTGGTGGTGGCGGCAGTAACTGTAACAACTGCAGCTGCTGCTGTCGCTGCGATGGTGTTAGTGAGGCACTGGAAGCGCCAAAACGAGCGAAGTTGGAGGCATGCAAAGCGCATTTTGCGAAAGTTTGCGAGGGAGAGTGCTACTCCAGTCACCAAACTTTGGCTTGTGGCTAATGACTTGGCGGTTGACATGCAAACCGGCCTTATTTCTGAACAATCCAAACTTGGCATGTTTCCTTTCTACTCCGGTTCACTTCCCACCGGGTAATTTACACTGCTCCAAATGATCAATCTCCTTTGTTTCCAAAAATTTGATTTTAGACGCAATAGTAAATAGTCACACCATTGTGTAAATTACATATATATATATATATATATATATATATATATATATACACGTATATTGTGGCAGTGATGAGAAGGGGGTATACTATGGAATAAACCTTCGCGGTGATAATTTCTTGATTCTAAGAGCGCAGCTTGGAGGGAAGAATGAAATTTTATCTGAATTCCAGAGGGAGGAGGTTCAAATTCCTTCCCGTGTAATTTCTGCCGATTCCAAGGTAAGTACTAGCAGTTGTTTTCATTTCTCAAATATGTGAGTACTTAAACCTCAGGTTGTGGACATGGCAACTCTAGAACATAAAGTGAAAAAGAAAATGGTGGCAGTGATTAGTAGCAATAAATAAATACGGTCTTACCCAAATGCCTGTCGTCTTCAATTTCAAATTAAACAACTCAAAAGGCCTATGTTTGTTGATTTTCTCGAATATTGCTTGAGGGAGGAGTAGTACAAAAGTCAAAAGTCATTCGCTTTCCATTGTTTAATTGTGTGGAAGAAATATTTAAGGGATAATATTTCAACTTAATAGAATGAATCTTCCATAAAGGCAGCAGGCAAGGTTTTGTCGAATGTTTTTCGTCAGCTAATCTCTACTCAAGTCCACTTGTTCATGCAGGAATTATTTGATCTAATTGCCTTGGAGCTTTCAAAATTTGTTTCTCTTCATGAAGACCTTACAGGAAAGACAAAACTAGAGAAGCTTAAACTAGGATTTACAATATCACCTCCGGTTGACCAAGCTGCAGCCTCCTCGTGCAGAGGCATCGATTGGAGGAGGTTAACAGATGACACAGTTAAGTCTGCTCCTTGATTTGAAGCTTTCCCGGTTAACATGTTGCATATGTTGGGAACTATCAGTGAAAGTCGCCATGAAAATCTTGTAAATTTACCTTCCTAGAAAACCTGCTTTATTGCAATAGAACTAATTTAGAAATTATGGCTCGCCAAAAAAGAAACTACTGTGTAGTATTCAAAATTTACAGTGAAAATGACACATTGATGTAAGAGCTTACCTTTCAGAGTCTGCGAGTGATAAGAGGATCTAGATCCTTAATCTAATTATTGAGGTTCCACTGAAATGGCTTCCATGATTTCACTTATTTATACATGATTTGCAGAGGAGTGTAAGGATTGCCACAATTTGATTCCCATGAAAGGATTTCATGAATTTTTGTAGATTCCTCAGACTCCATTGTGTAGTAATCTTGTTCAGAACAAATTCATCAGGTCAGGACACAGATGATGACTGAAATTAATGAGGCTTTGCTGAAGCATGGCGTGGAAATGCAAGTTTCTGCTATGGTAAGATCCTCAATTTGGTGGTTAGTTGTAACTGGGATTCTGTAATTTTTGTGCAAGTAAACCCCAAGTTTGACGAGAGTATAGCGTCTCCAAGCTAGGAATTGACTCAAATAGCTTGGCGATTTCCCAGGTGGATGAAGTCATTGGCTGTTTGGCTGGGGCAAGGTACTACAGTAGAGAAAGTGTCGCTGCACTTAGTTTAGGGATGGCCGTTAATGCTGCTTATATGGAATCAGTACAAGAAGTTCAAAAGTTGCAGGGCCAATTATCCAACTCTGGAGAAATGGTTGTGCTGTCATATGTTGTATAAGCACATATTCAGATTATATAGGCATCATATCCTGTAAGTTGTTGACGTGCTTATTATAACTCTGCAGGCTATTAGTGTGAATTGGGGAAATTTTAGTTCCATTCACCTTCCAATGACAGAGTTTGATGCTTCCTTAGATTCTGAAAGCACAAATCCTGGTAGCGGGGTAGGGAACTTGGATATCAGGTGTCTGAATTCGCATTCTAAGTCATACGAATCCCTTCCTGAATCCTGTTTTGTTTTGTCTCAGATATTTGAAAAGCTTATTTCAGGGATGTATTTAGGAGAGATTGTTAGAAAAGTCCTACTGAAGATGGCGCAAGAAGCAGCTTTATTTGGAGATAACCTCCCAATCAAGCTCACCATCCCATACTTGTTGAGGTAAATGGAAGTCAATATTTTGTGACATTATATAAGTTCGGTAGCAATTCCAGAACTGAGATGCATTCCTTCATGTCAATTAAGCAGAAAACCAGACACTTGGAGCTGGTATGACATTAATGGTTTTGTAAATTTATCCGTACAGTTCAGGAAAGAAACTACGCTTAAACTTTGACGTTGAGCAGGATCAAATTTTTTTCCCTTTGATGTCATAATTCTTTGAAGCAATCGAAATTGATGCAAAGGTGGGATTATGAATTGAAGGAATGTAGTAGGAGAATCAATATATTTTTCTTTTCTTTTCTTTTTTTTTGGGTGGAAAGGAAGACAGTTCACGATAGACCATTTGATTATTAGACTACAAGCCATTCTATGCACTCGTTCATGGAATTAGGAAGTATGAGATATATTCTATCATAAGTCTTGTGCTTTGACAGGTCACATGATGTGGCTATTATGCACCAGGACACATCAGAGGATTATGAAATGGTTGATGAAAAACTGAAGGAAATATTCGAGGTAACTTTAACCATCTTCTCATGTAGAAATTTGCTAACTCTCTTTTTATGACCACTGACAACACTTTTTCCGGACATAATCAAAATTCAGAAGCACACTTTGTCATTCCAAAATAGAGTATTTTGTCTGTGACTAACCCCAAAAAAAAAAAAAGAAAAAGGAAGCTTAAAACTTGTTGGCGATTGCGAATTTAGTTACCATGTCATATGCATAATAGTACTAGTCGTTGTATCTTTCAACTTCTGCCCATCAGTCCACAAGCAATTGGTGCTTATCATGTCATCCAAACTGGTTAAAACTGATTACACAAAACTGCTGGTCTGCACAAGCACAGTGGCTCTTAGTAACGCACCACCAATCTATCCCAGATATCCAACACTACACCAGTGGTGAGAGAAATCGTTGCAGAGGTCTGTGACATAGTTGCAGAGCGCGGAGCTCGTCTTGTGGGAGCTGGAATAATGGGGATTGTCAAAAAACTCGGAAGAATTGCTAACAAGAAGAGTGTAATTACGGTTGAAGGTGGACTGTATGAGCATTATCGCATCTTTAGAAACTATCTGCATAGCAGTGTTTGGGAGATGCTGGGGAGTGACCTTTCTGACAATGTGATTATAGAGCATTCTCACGGAGGTTCAGGAGCTGGGGCTCTCTTTATTGCTGCTTCACAGACGCGAGATGCAGATTCCTAGGCACACCATTTTGAACCCTGTTCCTGTTGCCCCTATATTATTGTAATCTGATATCGAGATTGTGGAATTTTGTTCATTCATTTGTTAAGACTGTTTATTTTTTGTCTTTTTTTTTTGTTTTAACAACTCAGACCAAGCAACAGAGTCAGCAGCCAAAAAATTAAATAAAAAAAAAAAAAAAAAAAAAAAAAAAAAAAAGGTGGCCGCTAAAAGTGCAACGTTTAATTTGGATCAACTTGAAACTTGGCCGTGTCGTTAGAATTGGGCTTGTCCGATTCTGTATCATTGGTCTTGTCCATGCCTAAGCTATGGCTAAGGCACCAAACTCTCATAATTTGATTAAATTCCAACAGAGTATCTCGAGCTCCAATCAATTGCAGATGACTTCAAATGGTTTAATCCTAAGACTCCTCCAGAATGGATTTCAATTCTAAGAACAAACCATCCGAGTTCTTCAAATCCTACAAATAAAGGATCCTCCAGCCCACGCGAGTGGCGAAGTAAAACAGAGAGCAAAGAAACTCGAAGGCCTTTAGCTTGAAGCCTTGAAACATTTACATCCAGTTTCCTTGTCAGCACGTGACATGCGTATGACATTCTCTTGCACGAAATTTTTTTGTTTTCTTGTGGGTAAAAAATAAGAAGACATGTTAGTAGTATTAAATAATAATAGAGCATTGTATTTGTCTATCTTGCAGCAGTGTCGAAGATTCTGCACAAAACTGCTATCAAATCAAACACGCAAAGTGAGCCAGAGTTTGAAAAGGACTTGAGAGGGGCGAGGTGCAAACACAACACAGTAAACAACATCGTCTCATTCATTGTCTTCTTCTTCTTCTATTTCTTCTGCAATCACGCACTGGCCACCATGTATTATGTTCATTTAACTTACAAGAAGATGAGATAGCCCCCCCCCCCCCCCAACCCAAAAAGAAGGGAAAAAAAGAAAAGAAAAAAGTAGTACTCCATTCAGCAGCCTTTTCGTAGAAATACCCATAAAAAAATGAAGCAGCGAAGATGGAAAATGGTCAGAGTAATAACCTGAAATGATGACTAGTACCAACAAATATAGATTCTTCTTTTTGAAATCGCCCAAATGCGTCCAAAGAAAGCTTGGGCCTTTTGTTTCGGCCGGGGAAAGATAAGACAAAGACCACACATTAGCCCGCGACCATTTAGCTGTTGCAAGTGAAAATGGTCCACCCCAATCCTTACCCGTAACATAAATACTTGGACCAGAAAAATCAAAAATCGTCTTCTTTTTTTTTTTTTTTGGGTTATAGCGACGTGGATTATAATTATTTGTTTATTGCTTACTGCACATCTTATTATCAGTTGTAATAATCGTTTCAAATTTATTGTGGATTTTATCAACGCTTATTAATTAGCTTAATTTATTCAAAAGCCAGAATTAATAAGTCCCTGTGGTTTTCTAAAAGTTTCAAGAGGAATCGCCAAAAGTTATTCAAGCATAAGTATTTTAAACTGAATTTGGAGTTTAAACTTGGTAACAAGCTACATAACTAACTGCCTATCTTCTGCAAGTGGCTAAGACGAGAGCCTCATTGAAAGAGAAGGAAGGAAAAAGTGATTAATTATGTGAGACGCTTCTCCTAAAGCTAACAACTAATAATTGAAGCTACACTAGAAAATAGTTGTACTTAGATTTTAAACGCACATGATTTATTTTAACTAGTGTTCAAAATTTATGCGGTCACGTCCTCTCAATTTATTTTTGCATGCTTGTCTCTTGCAGCATAAGAGAGCAAAATAAGAATGGCATAATAATGCCTATTAGTTTGTAACATTTTGTAAACCAGGCAGATAATGAAAAGCGAATATGTAGTTAAAAGTAGTGTTTGGATAATAGATTATTTGGTATGAATTTTTGAAAAAAAATTACTATAACATTTTTTTGACGTGATATATGTGAGATAAAAAGATGATTGAAAAACGTGTTGATGATACGTAAACAAATAAAATTATGCAAATAGTAATTTAAAATCAAAACTAATAATAGTGCTATTAGCAATTTATCTCTATCGCGTATCGCGCTGTCAAGTGAGAGGGCTGCAGCGAGAACTTGGAGCGCCGACTTCCTCAATCATGCACTAAAATCATTATCCATCAAACGAACAAAACAAAATGTCACGACATTATCAATTAGTTAATACTTAAAACTAGCTTCTTGTTTATTATATATTGTTTTTTTTTTTTTTGGGGTGGTGGGGGGCTAAGAATATTACTATATCGCTAGCTTCAACATGTCTCGTCTTATGCCGCAGTAAATTCTTCATCTCAGGATACTCCGAATTTTCTTGCAAGTCTCTTGAGTGAGGGTTGCTCCCCACAGCCAATATCTTCGTAATGGGGAAAAAGAAAAAAAAAATTCATTTTGAGAGTCAGACTCAAATCAAAGGTGAACTTCCAAGTATGCACTTAATTTGCCATATATTTTCACCCCATATGACGAAAAGCTAACATAAGAGACACAATTAGATTCAAACAATTCTGCTCGTCTCCGTTTCTTCCTCCAATCAGTAACAGTCAAATTATTTCATATAATATCTGGCAGAAGTGGGAAAAAAAAAAAGAACTTAATTAGTAGTAGTAGTAGTATCTGATCATGAGTCATCATCAATTTACCTGAGGAGTAACTCTGGGAGCGCAAGTGATCGGCCGTGAACAACTTTTACTGTTAATGTAATTGGATGAAATATGATGGTTGCACGTTGAAATCACATTTAGAAATTCAAGATTCACTAATTAAGTTTATAATTTTTTTTTTTTTTTTAAAAATGCTTGATGAGTTCGTCACATTGGTCACTCGCAATATTAGATAGAGAACAAACAAACATTTTGAATTTAAAGGAGTTTCAACACTTTACCAAATCTACATCTACTCCTAACTACTATTCCACAGTACCCTGAACGGTTGCAACAAAAAATTAGTGCCTTGAGAAAATGCATGCAGGAAAATTGTGCTAGCAACCAATAAATAAATGAAATGCGCCTATCGGAATCAAGAAGCATGGCAAAACTCATGCCTCGAATTTGATTCTTTTTTTTTTTCTCTCCAGCTACATATATCTCATGCGCGTCTGAGATGTCCAATCTTTAATTATGCAGTTGCACAAGACTGATTGCCAATGCCGATTACTCTATGGTCAAACGGAATGGACTTTGATAGATTCTCGTATAGATCTTTAAACGTCCCTTCCCCCTTCGGCCCTTCCCCCCCCTCCTTTCTCCCCCAAACAAAAAAAAACATATATATATATATATATATATATATATATATAGAGAGAGAGAGAGAGAGTGTGTGTGTGTGAATTGAAAGAAAAAGAATCCCATTTTGCGAATCAATAATGTCTATGAAAAGGGTCCTGTCCTGAGGACCTGAGTGCCAATTCGTTCCACTTCTTTTCAAGTAAAGCCCTGTGGCATTCAAACTGTCACCAGCTGAGTATTCAACGTTGTTGTGTCTTGTGTGAGAAAAACTCCTTTCACATCTTCATTTTTGCACGGTTTTTTCTTAGATATTACTACTTACTATAGTAGACATTTTTCGCTCTTCCCCCCCACAGCTTTTGTTAGCATTTCCTCTTTTTTTTTTTCTCTTTTCAATAACTTAACAGTAATCATCAGCTGACGAGCTTCCAGATAGACGTCCGCGTGAAGCTCCTACTAATCACATCCAAAGAACGACACATACAATACAAATGAGAAAACGACTAGCACTAATATAAATTATAAGATAGAAGTTTGGCGTCATTAGCAATTTCGGTTTATGGCAAATGGACAAATGCAAATAACAAAATCCGCATGTTACAGCTTATGCTAACACTGAGGCTCAGGGACTTTGTATTATTGTATGCATTGCATTGGTACCATAACCAAAAGTGGTGGTCACTATATACACTATAGCCTGGTACAAATCACAAGTCTATACATTGGACTTAGAAGAGAATTTCCATCCACGTTCAGTTCACTTGATTTGACGGGCTAAAACCGAATTAAGATGAAGCTAGCTCATAATCTAATATAAGCTTATAATTATTTTTCGATAAATCTTTTCTTGTTTTCAAATGAAATGACAAGAAGAATACTTTAGACTTGATATGCTACAGGCTTGTTGGGGTTTGGACTTCCTGAGGTATGGTCCTTTTTTTTTTTTTTTTACGAAAACATTTTTATAACTTAATCATCGTAATTTAGGAGGGAAATGAGCCTAAAGAGGTTGTGTATAAGGCACTAATAGATATAGTTGTAACTCGCAAGAAATAGGGAAAGAGAGGGGGGATTCCAAAAGGAAGGGGACAAGAGGAACAGGGTTCGAGACAGATTATAATGAAAATTAAGGTCCGTTTATTGAAAGGCTAAATCGTGTCTTCTGGCGGTGGAGGAGCTTCGGACTTGGCGTTTTTAGGCGAGTCCCGAGTCTTTGCTTTTACTAAGTTTAGAATATCAAACCACGGGGAATCTCTCTAATTAACCACTCCCTTCTCCCCCTTAATTACTGCTATCAACTGTTAATAAATCTTTTAGCCTTTCCATGGCTGTCCCCCTCAATTGCCCCGCCCCACCTAGGGCTGCAAACGAATCGAGCCGCTCGCGAGCCGCTCGCGAGCCGCTCGAGTCAAGCTCGAGTCGAGCTCGACATTAATCGAGCTCGAGTCGAGCTCGAGCCAGCTCGAGTCAAACTCGAGCTCGAACTCGAGCTCAGAATATTAAGCTCGTTAGCTCGCGAGCCGGCTCGCGAGCTTGAGTATATATATATTTTTTTTATTTTTATTTTTATTTAATAATAAAATTACGTATATTATATATATATTTTTTTTATTTTTTATTTTCATAGTGAAATTACGGATATATCCTTAATATTTTATTATTTATTCAGAAAAAAATATTATTGTATTTATTTTTTTAAAAAATAAAATAATTTTTTTTATTTTTTTCGAGCTCGAGCTCGGCTCGACTTGATTCGAGTCGAGCTCGAGCTCGAAAATTGCCAGCTCGTCGAGCTCGAGCTTGATAAAATTTAGTCGAGGCTCGGCTCGATTAGCTCAAATCTCGACTCGACTCGGCTCGTTTGCAGCCCTAGCCCCACCACACACACACACACAGAGACAAAAGAAAAAATAAATGAAACCATACAAATTCATATTGATTTTATTTGGTGAAAGTAGTAATCCTTCTGTCACATATTTAATGTGTATTGTTACCAGAAAATATGCTAGTAGTAAGTATTTCATTAGTTAATCGTTTTGGTTGGGGGAATAAATACAAATAATATTGAGTCAAATATTATAATATTGACTAAGCTGATATTGCATTGAAAAACTAGAGAGTCTAAGTTTCAAGAATAATTCGGTAATATAAATTATCTAGTTTGAATGGACCATCTAGTAGTATTAATGAGGAAAATACTAGTGTGAATAAAAATAATTGATTTAAAATCCTTATACTATAACTAACACTCTACTAGTTCATAACATGCGTGAAATAAGAAATAGAGCTGGCCGTCGTCAGAAATCTCGTTAAGACATCAATTAATGCGTGCTTGGATTAGCTTAATAACATTATTATTGATCAGCCCTTTTCATTATTTTCCATTTAAAAAAACAGAAAAGAAATTCTCTAAACCCAGTCCAGTCCCCCAGCACATAGATAGATACGTTAGATTTGAAAAAAGAGGAGAAAAGCTTTGGGCCCTACGGCCTCATGGATGAGCTGGCACTTGGAAAGGGACAGTAGCTTGGAAGTCATTAAATGTCACAAGGTGGAGGGGAGCAAAGTAGAAACTATCGTCCTGCCGCTGTTGCTGGCGCCTGGCGGTCACTTTCCTTTTCCCTGGACTGGGGCTTCTTGGGTGGGGGGTCCAAATCGAGGGACTGGTTGGTCAATTTTCCCCAGTTTCACCCATATTATGTAGCTAGGTTGGTCCACACTCCACTAATTAGTTGTTGCCTGCGTATCCTCCATAATGAGAACTATCTGCTATAATCCAAGAAAACCCAGATTGCAAATTCGTCCTTCTGTTTTCTTCCGTAAAATGACTTGTGAATTGCAAGGGGCAGAGGGAAGGAGGGGGTTCCAGTTTACTATGATTGAAGGGGTACAGTAGCAATGTGGATAGATTAGAAAACAACCCCACCTCCCCAAGAGCATCTCATCTCATTTTGTCAGTCAGCCATGTTTGACCATGCTTTATGAGAACAAACAAAATCATTACTGTTGTAATTATGAGCAGTTCCTGATTAATGTTCTTTTTTTTTTTTTTTGGAACCTTTTTTTGATTGATTGCGAGGTGGGCATGAATGAATGCTTCCGTATTACTTTCTTTTTTTTAAAAAAAAATATATGAAATATCGGATCGAATTAGAGATAAACCTTGACGTCATTCTCGAAGTAGCAGTATAGGTCGTCTTCGCTCTGTAGTTATAACTTATAATCAATCAAGCAGGAAAAAAAAAACACTCTATGATAAAGATGAGATATATCCTTTTTTTTTTTTTATTTCGCTATTCCCAGTACTTATAGCATGACCATCTTGTGCCTGACTTTTTCGTAACTGAATTGAAAAAGGGGAGGTTTTTTTTTTGTTTTGGAGGGGGAAGGTGTCTGATACAATACAATTTGATGATTGTGTCAATAAGGTCACAAGGTTTGCATGGGTGTGTCTAATGACTGAATCAACAGTTGCAAGGAGAGAAAGCTCAAACGAAACAACAAAAGTTGCTCACCAATTCGCCGTGGATGATCAGAGATTAAAACAAGAAAAACAAATGACCGCTAGTTATCCGTATTGTACTGAAAGGAACGGGTATTTAGTGGTTGAGGCTGAACTTTAACGTACCCATTCGGTGCTAACCTTTTTAACCGATGTCGAAAGCCAAATTTTGGGCACGGTTTTAGGGCTTTCTTGCTATATAATGGCAATATATAGATCGCACGCGCTCGTCGAATTTATTTTGTGGCCTTTTGCTTGATACAACTAAATAGATGTTTTTTTTTTACCCCACAAATAGATGTTTTTAATCTGCAAGATCGATGAAGTGGGCATTCTCAGTATGTCGAAACAATTATGTGTGTGACAGAAGTGAAAAAAACGACCATTTTGGTTGTGTTTTAGGTCTTAGAAAAATAGCTAAAAGTATACAAGTTAAAATGACTACAGACAAACCAAATAGACGCACTGCTATTGGTGTTGGTTACTGTTATACGATAATTTCAGATTAATTATGGCTGATGCTAACTAAAGGTACACGTGGTAGATAATCACACTTAGCAACAATTAGCACATTCTCGTATGAGAAAGGGGTAAGAGAAAAAAAACAAATGGTTATGAGTGAAAAGTTCGACAAAACAAAATTTGCACCGCAGCAGCACTGCGCTCGTCTCTGTGTAACTTGCAGCATTACTTGCGCTGAAAGGTTTCGCAGAGTTATTAATTGATGTCAATTGCGATACCTTTTTTATTTTTATTTTTATCCTATTGTTTGGTATTTTCCCTTTATCCATCCAAATTCAAAGGCTTATTTTTTTTTTTTTGTCAAAAATGACATATCTATTTTATTTTTTACAAGATTACTGGAATGAGATTTTGTTTACACATTTATCCTTTTACTAATCTAGTTTGTACGTAATGGCAATTTAGAAAGACATTAATATTTGAATTGTCATTTTTAAAATATTTTTATATTTTTTGTGAATATACTTTTTCAATTACCTTTTTACTTTACATATATCATGTCGTTATAATAAATTTTTTTTTTCGCAAAAATCCTAGAAAATAGCAACCTAAACGGCTCTTATACACGTTGATTTGATGTTTGTAATAGTAAGTTGATTTTGAGACTAGTCATATTATTGGGTCGGATCTTACCCAAATCCAATATAATTGGATTGCATTTTGATTTAATTTCTTAAACTCAGACCCAAACCCCTGTAATTCCATACCAAAATCCAAACCCATGTATATATAATTAAATACTAGTGTGTGTGTATGTATACATATATACTAGTAAATATATAAAATAATATTGGACATCGATATAACACTTTGAAAATAAAGAGAAGTAGTTAATTTAGTTCATAATATTGCACTTCACTTCTTGAATATTAATTTTATTATTTGAAAGTAAAAATTGGATGATATTTATATTATTTTTGAACTCTACATGTTTTAATAATTTTTTATTTTAGTATGTTTAGAAAAACATAACGAATATCCATTGGATATTATAAGGTTTGAGTCTGAATTTGCTTTTTAGACCCATAACAGTTTGGATTTAATCAAATTTAATAGATCTAGATTTGGATAAAAGAGATTACACTCAGCTTGTACCTATCAACATGCCTAATCAAAAGAGAGAGTAGTTTCTTCAAAAAAAAAAAAAAAAAAAAAGAGAGAGAAAGAGTAATTAAAAGAGAAGAGTAATTATGGGAGAGTGCCAATGTGTAGTCTGGACTCTGGCGTCTTCAGTAAACAATAATGTCATACAACGTAAATTAAGTCAACGTAGCTTCCAAGATACTACTTAACCCCCCCCCCCCCCCCCCCCCCCCCACAAAAAAAAAAAGAGACTCCTTTTAATACACTCCTAAGTCATGAATGGTAGCATATGTACAATTATAATCCCTTTACTATTTAGAACGTTAAACGCATATATCCACGTAAACCCAAACTCTAAAAGCTAATAGAGTCAGATTTGCTTCGTATTTATTTGATTAACAATAAACATTTCTTCTTTGATATTATAATGCTTAGTATATCAAATGTTTAACCCATGAATTAAGTGATATATCTCTCAGTTCTCCAACTCATGGAGAGGGAGGGAAAAGGGTGCGTGCGTGCTGCTGTTAATAGTTCCACAGGACAAGGGTGACGTTAAATGTAAATAATCCCCAGGACAGGAAAAAAAAAAGGGAGATTTTAAGCTACTGATAATTTTTCTATTTAGAGCTCAATTAGGGGCGTGCTGTCTCTTGCTTAGCCATTTATAGCCTAGTATATTATTATTATTATTTTCGTTTGAAAACAAAAGAAATTATATATTCAAGTCTCATTTCTCAAACAATGAAGCGTTTTATTAAATTCAATCTTGGACAACCAAAAGCCAAAAAGATGGCTTTTATATACCTCCAGAGAAGAGAAAAAGAAGGCTTTTGAAAAGAGAAAAGGTAGGAAGATGGGATGGGGAGTGGGGTGCGGTGGAGGGAGGGTTGTCCGGTCCGGTGTCGTCTCACAAAGGCCTACGACGCCAGTACCCAGTACTGAGTACTGAGTAGTACTGTGTACCCGGCCCCTGAATGATCCACTACGTACGGCCCCGCCCCCACCTTTTAATCAATCTCAGCGGTACAATTTTAGGCAGTCAGGACATTCAAAATGTTCTTTTAATCCCACTCTTCCCTTCTCATCCCAAAAATTCCAAAAGCAAAATCACCAAATCCTTAACTAATACCCACCCAAAAGGAAGGAAAGACTACCTTTTTTCTTTTTTCTTTTTTTAAATTAAAAAAATACCCATTAAAATAAAGCCCACACCTTTCTTTCTTATAGCTTTCTAGCAGTAGTGGCAAGTATTCCAGTTTTCCCACCCTCCTCAACTCAGTACTCAGTAGTCAGTCCCCTCCCCACTCTTCTTCTACGCTTCCCCTAGCTAGCCAGCGCAAACTGAAAATGCGTTTTGTTCTCCTCCTCTTTCTCCTACTCCATCTCCATTCTTGCTTTGCTGCAAGAACACCCCGAATGCCGGAGTACAAGGCATTACTCTCCATAAAATCTGCCATCACCGCCGACCCGCAATCTTCTTTGGCTTCCTGGAATGACTCCACTACTCATTGCTCCTGGTCTGGCGTCACCTGCGACTCCTATGGCCGTCACGTGACTGCTCTTGACATTTCCGGACTTAATCTCACTGGCACCCTTTCCCCTGACGTTTCCCATCTCCGCCTTCTCCTCAACCTCTCCGTCGCCGCCAACCAGTTCTGTGGTCCTGTCCCTCCTGAAATCTCCTCCATCTCCACTCTCCGCTACCTTAACCTCTCCAACAATATCTTTAACCTCACCTTCCCCCGGCAGCTCATTCGCCTCAAAAATCTTGAGGTGCTTGATTTCTACAATAATAACATGTCCGGCCCTTTGCCTGTGGACGTTTACCAGCTAACCAACCTCAGGCATCTCCACTTGGGCGGCAACTTCTTCTCGGGCAGCATTCCCGCCGAGTATGGTTCTTTTCCTAATCTCGAATACCTCGCCGTTTCCGGCAACGAGCTCGCCGGTAGGATCCCCCCGGAGATAGCAAACTTGACCAAGCTTCAACACCTTTACATTGGCTACTTCAACACTTTCTCCGGCGGGATCCCACCCCAAATTGGCAACTTATCGCAGCTTCTGCGTTTTGATGCCGCCAACTGTGGCCTCTCCGGCGAGGTTCCCCCGGAGCTTGGGATGCTGCAGAACTTGGATACCCTCTTTCTTCAAGTGAATGCGCTTTCTGGGCCGTTGACGTCGGAGCTGGGATACTTGAAAACCTTGAAATCTATGGATCTGTCCAACAACATGTTCACCGGCGAAATACCTTCCTCGTTTGCGCAGCTGAAAAATCTCACTCTCTTGAATCTTTTCCGAAACCAGCTTCACGGGTCGATACCGGACTTCATTGGAGACTTGCCGGAGCTGGAGGTGTTGCAGTTATGGGATAACAATTTCACTGGAAGCATCCCACAAGGGCTGGGGACTAATGGGAAGCTTCAAAATCTGGACCTCAGTTCGAACAAATTGACTGGAAATTTGCCCCCGAATATTTGTACCGGAAACAAGTTACAGACATTGATTACTCTGGGAAACTTTCTCTTTGGGACGATTCCTGAATCCTTGGGCCAATGCGAGTCGCTGAGTCGACTTCGGATGGGTGAGAATTATCTCAATGGGTCGATCCCAAAAGGGCTTTTGAGTTTGCCACAGCTTTCTCAAGTTGAGCTTCAGGATAATCTTTTAACAGGCTCATTTCCGGAGACGGATAAAACATCGACCACTCTCGGCCAGATTAGCCTTTCAAACAATCGTTTATCTGGGCCGCTGCCCCCGAGTATTGGGAATTTCGTGGGTGTACAAAAGTTTTTGCTTGATGGGAACAAGTTTACTGGCCCCATTCCGGCTGAAATAGGAAAGTTGCAGCAACTATCAAAAATTGATTTCAGCCACAATAGCTTTTCAGGCCCCATTGCCCCTGAAATCAGCGAATGCAAGCTCTTGACTTTTGTCGACCTCAGTAGGAACCAGCTTGCTGGTGAAATCCCAACTGAGATCACAGGTATGAGAATATTGAACTATTTGAATTTGTCAAGAAATCATTTAGTTGGAAGCATTCCGTCTCCAATAGCATCCATGCAGAGCTTAACTTCTGTTGACTTTTCGTACAACAATTTGTCCGGGATGGTTCCTGGGACGGGTCAATTTAGTTATTTCAATTATACTTCGTTTTTGGGCAACCCTGATCTTTGTGGCCCTTACTTGGGACCCTGCAAAGAAGGGATTGTTAATGGAAGTACTAAACCTCATGAGAGAGGAGCATTTTCGCCCTCTATGAAGCTTTTGCTTGTGATTGGCTTGCTTGTTTGCTCGATCGTGTTCGCAGTTGCTGCAATTATCAAAGCACGTTCGCTAAAGAAGGCGAGCGAGGCCCGTGCTTGGAAGCTTACGGCTTTCCAACGCCTGGATTTTACTTGTGATGATGTTTTGGATTCCTTGAAGGAGGATAATATCATTGGGAAAGGAGGTGCCGGGATTGTGTACAAAGGGGCAATGCCTAATGGAGAACATGTTGCTGTGAAGAGGTTGCCCGCGATGAGCCGAGGCTCATCCCATGATCATGGGTTCAATGCTGAAATTCAGACTCTTGGGAGGATTAGGCACAGGCACATTGTTAGATTGTTGGGATTCTGTTCTAATCATGAGACTAATCTTTTGGTTTATGAGTATATGCCTAATGGGAGTTTGGGAGAAATGCTTCATGGCAAGAAAGGGGGTCATTTGCATTGGGATACACGGTATAAAATTGCCGTGGAGGCTGCTAAGGGCCTTTGCTATCTTCATCACGATTGCTCGCCTTTGATTGTCCATCGTGATGTGAAATCCAATAACATCCTTTTGGATTCTAACTTTGAGGCTCATGTGGCTGATTTTGGACTTGCCAAGTTCTTGCAAGATTCAGGAACATCTGAATGCATGTCTGCTATTGCTGGTTCCTATGGTTACATTGCACCAGGTACTGCTCAAATGCACGATTTCTCAATAGTAGTATAGGAAGAGGAATTTTTGGTATTTTTCTGCTCATAATTATCTTGTTTACTGTATGAAGTTGGTAATCCCTTTTTGAAATTGGAACTGCACTGACTTTTGACTGGTAAGACTCTTTACGTTGAGATCTGACATTGATTTGTTTCCTGAATTTCTTGACTTGATTCTCCAATTTACATACCATGTGCGCCTTTATTGTATTTCCAAGTACTACTTTGTCACCTTGACTATACACTTCCTTCTTGCCTTTGAGAATATTGGCTCAATAATCATCAGTTCCTTTAGCTGTTTTCGACAGTTAATGTCTGGAGGAAAACACTTAAAATGAACATGAACTTAATGGTCCTGTAGCGTTTGACTTTCATTTATTAAGGAAAGTCATTGAAAGGACTCAATTTGATCTCCAACTAGTTAGGTAATATATTGGTGTGGTGGGTTTATTACTATTCTACGGAGTAACTTGGATGGCAAATTCAAAGCCAACATTGTCTCGGAGACTAATTTGAGTCTACAGGATATGGCTAGCATGCTAACATTTGTTTTTTCTGGTAGGTATGAATATCATGCTATTTGGTCAAAGCATTGGTGTTAAAATAATCTTTGCTTCTGATGGTCTGCTAACAGTTTCTTAATTATTGTCAGATGTACTTAGAGTTGCAATTCTGGTCTATGCAAGCAATAATTACATTAATGTGTTTCAGATTAATTTTTTTTAATCATTGTTTTTTTTTTTAAATTGCAGAATATGCCTACACACTCAAAGTTGATGAGAAAAGCGATGTATACAGCTTTGGTGTAGTTCTCTTAGAATTAGTGAGTGGGAGAAAGCCAGTAGGGGAATTTGGTGATGGGGTTGACATAGTACAATGGGTGAGGAAGATGACCGATGGGAACAAGGAAGGAGTACTCAAGATCCTTGATCCAAGACTCCCTACAGTTCCCCTTCATGAGGTGATGCATGTATTTTATGTGGCGATGCTCTGTGTTGAAGAACAGGCAGTGGAGCGGCCCACAATGAGGGAGGTTGTGCAAATACTGACTGAGCTACCAAAGCCAGCCAACGGCAAACAGGGAGACTCAACAGACACGGAATCTCCCCCACCGGCGTCCACAGTGGAGTCTCCAAGCACAACTCCTGTGGACTCCAAAGACCATCAGCAACCACCACCACCTCAGTCCCCTCCACCTGATCTCCTTAGCATTTAAGCAGAGCTCTCTACTGAATGGTTTTTTTCCTTTTTTTTTGGGGGGGGAAGAGAGGGGGTTGGACGGGCTTGGTTGGATTGTTTAGTTTATTGTAGGATTTAGCTTTTTCCATATTTAATCTTAAGTTTCCCGGAATGGGGTTGGCCTAGCTTTTTCTTTTTGTGATCATTTGCTTTGTTCCTTTTAAGTTGGGGAGGAAAGAGGAGGGTAAAAAGGGCCTGGGTTGACTCTGTAACCTTGAAGGTAAATGGGAGCTATCGGTAAGTTTGAAAGTGCTTTTTTTTTTCTTTTTTCTTTTTTCCGTGTACAGTGGGAGTTGTTGGCAAAAAATTATCTTGAACATGTGATGTAGCTTCCTACTGCTCATCTTTCTTTATAACTTTATTGCAAATGTTCTTGTTTCCCTTATTTTTACCACGAAAGAACCTGGGAGAAAAGTCTATATGCCTAAAGCACGGGCGTGCAAATCAAGAGTTGTTTATGCTTCTTCGTGGGTTCTGGTGACTAGAGTGAGTGGTTAAGAGGTCGGATGATCATGCGTACGTATGGATAAAAGCGTGAATTAATTAGCTATAATTTTGTTTTAGGCCGATGATGAAAGATGGCAGGCGACCTAGTGGGAGTGCATCGAGCCCGGCGTGGCGTGCAGTGGAGAGTGGGGGCATTGGGTGGTCAGTGGGGGGCATTGGGGTCTGGCTTTGCTTGACAGAGAAAACTCTTCTTCTTGGCAAATGGGGTGGTTCTGTTCTGCCGCTTTCGGGATCATTTTTATTGAATTCAACCCTCAAGTACTCAACTCAACTGGGGGATTATTCTTTGGGGGAGGGGTTGCGTTGGGAAGGGAGATGAATCAATGAGTGCAAGTTTGCCTTTAAAGGAAGTAAAGAACTCTCTCCTCATTTATACAAACTCCGCTTAAATGATCTTGGACCTGATCAGTATTGGAAATAAATGCAGGATCACCATTGGGTTCCCTACATTAGTACATTTCTCTCTCTGGTCTGAAAATGTTGGGTCAAAATTTGCGAATCGATCCTGATGGGTTTCCTGCATTTATGATGTTTGCCATTTGCCCAGCACGTGATTCACTTTGCTGGCAACTCAACTCTACGATAAGCTTTTTGGTTGTCACAACTCACAACAACGTAAGCCTTTGCCTGTCCCAAAGTTTGTTGAACATTTGAGCATTAAGAAGTGGAGATTCTGTCCTCAAAGTGTCCAAACTATCCTTACGATAGCTGTTTTCTAGTAGTAGTAGTATGAAGTAGTAAGTCGTAGAGACAGGAGTGTCTTTTTAGCAGTAGGCAATTTCTTCTTCAGTATTCTAACATTTGGATTTGGTTGGTGATTCCTAGCCATCAGAAAGCGACGTACATTGAATTTACGTGTTAGATTGGTAGCATTCAGCCTAAAATGAGGAATTACCCGGAAAAAGGAAAGACCAGATAGTTGTTAGTTGTTATGTTGCATATTGGGTAATTAGCCATTCTCCAACCTCAGATCTAAAACACCAGAGGGAGGGGAGGGCCACTCTTTTATTTTTCCCTCTTAACTCACTCTCTGTTTCCATTGCCATATGAGCATTCGTCGTGTTCTTAATGATTAATGGATATCTTGACAGAAAAAGATAACGTGCTGACTAGTTTCAATCTCTTCAGGTGTTGTAACCTCAACCAAGCGGGATGACTGTCAAATGTTTCAGCAATCGCTTATGAATTCGATAAAGTTAGAGCGGGTATGGATTGCATTTTCTAGAAGTTTCAGGAGTGTATTTTTTTTTTTGGATAGAAAAGTAGTTGTTTGTATTTCTGAAATATGTCATTGTGATGTATATGAAATAAATATACAGTGTCTATAAAAGCTAGAGATTCAAACAAAGCCTTAGAATCTCTAATACTTCAAAGACTAGCACTTGTCACTTCTTCTCCAATTATTTTTGTCCCCACCAAAATTTTCAAAGTGTAAGGATTTATGTAGTGAGAACTCAATGGGGGTACCAATTAGTACATTTAATTTATATTCAATTGGATTTGGCTGACAAATGACGTTAGTTGTTAATTTTAAAAAATAAAAAATTAATTCAAAGTGTCTAAACGCAAAGGGAACAATAAACATAATACACATATTCGCATAGTAAATTAGATGTAATTTATGTGTACCAGCGAATGTATATTAGACATCCGTTAAAAATTTATTTAACAATTAACACATAAATTCCTTATTAACGATAGCCAAGTAAGCACCCATTAGATAAACTCTAATATAACAATTACTACTCTCATTGACTAACCACTAGCCTTTGAGTTGGTAGTCATTATCAATGCATTCAAACCTTACCTCCTACCAATTCTACACCTTAAAAAGTGGCTCTGTTTAAAAAATTCAGGCGGATGCATAGTACACTCATCTGATCTGGTGATGATTCAATCCTCTCATTGTTACCTTGGACCTCTACAAATCCTTCCCTTCCCCTAGTGCATGAATTTATCCTATCGACAAAACAAAAAAAAAATTACTATTCTCATTGACTACTTTTAGTTGTTAGCCGATCCCCTGTTACCCAAGGGGCTGTCACACTCACCTATAGTCTACTCACCGAGTAGTATATATATATATATATATATATATATATATATATATATATATATATATATATATATATATAAAAATAGAGTATATACATCTTGTAATATTTGGTATATCGTTACATTAAATTGGTGTACAGTGATGGAGCCACATGTACACGAGCGTGGGCAATTGCCGGCATCCCACCTCAAGTTTAAATATCAACAGCAACAATTTAAATATCAAGGTATATAATCATCCATACTAGAGATTTAACTTTACTACAAATTTATACATTGAAAATTGTTCCCCTCACCGGAGGTCCTAACTCTCTACTGTTGGTGTATACAGTACACCTTGCAATACTTGTTGTACATTCCACTGGGATGGAGTACACCAACTCAGTAGAACGGTACACCAAATATTACACTAGTTATAACAGAAGATTCGTAGCCCTTTTAGTTTAGTTGCATGTAAACTCATGCGTAGAGTCCTCCCTTGATTATTGTTGGGTAATTTTGCAAACTTGGACGCATTTATGCCTGTACGGGCTCTGAGTTAAAAACCCTGGAGAAGCTCTCAGAAACAAAACAAACCTTACTACCTCAGGGAGATGTTTGTAATTATAGTGAGCCATCGGAGGATTTTATTGTCATTTAGGAAAAAAAAAAGGGATACAATCTTGCAAATGCTTCTCTTGTCCGTTGATGTATTGATGTGACAAGAAAGGCGGGCCGATAGAATGACAAATTTTTGATGACTTGGCATGGCAGAAATCGTTTGATATTACAGATTGGCAGCTTATGGTCAGGAGGATGATGGGGGGCCCCTGAGACGTAATTGAAGACTAGCAGGATAGATGGAAGAGTTTTAATGGCTACTGAATGATTTGATGTGATGAAGGTTGAAAATGTTAGACGTGAAAATTTTCCAAGCTGGGCTATGTTTTTCAAGATTCAACCCGCAATACAACGACATTCATGAATATCGACTATTCATTCATTCCTTCCCTAAAATGAAGCCACTGATCAGTATGCGTTATTAAATATGCGCCATTGACAGCAGAATATTTGCTCCTTTTGTTGAAGTTGGGTTTGTACTTCGAAGCAAGCGTTGATTCACAGAAATGGGCAGGGAAGGGATGAAGGTTACACGGTCATATGGACAAGGGGCAGAGACGATTGCACCTGCAATCATCTTGAACAATTAATGGCCATGATTTGGCCAAAAAATTTTGTGCGGTCCAAATCATAAGTTGTGTATCGATTTTCACATCGTGTGTGGGACTCGCAAAATTTTGTACTCCCTCCGTCCCACTTTGATAGTCCTGTTTTCCTTTTTCGTCTGTCCCAAATTGTAGTCCACTTTCCAATTGAAGAATGTAGTTGTATTTTAATTTTCCTAAAATGCCCTTATTCAATGTAAGTTGTTGTTACTATAAACTTACCCTATTTAATGAGAGTTAATTCTTTTTTTTGCCATCAATTCAAGTTCCCATAAAGTTGTACTCTATTTAATGTGAGGGTATTTTAGGAAAATAGCAATCTAAATTTACTTTTCCAACAAAGTTAACTACATTTTCTTAAACTGTGTGAAAAAAGAAACAGGACTATCAAAGTGGGACGGAGGGAGTACTAAAATTACACGTTGTGCAAATAAAATTACGCCGCGTACAACTAAAGTTACGCGCCGGTAAAAATGGCCAAAACCGCTGGGCCGGTTGCACCCGTGCCCCTTGTCCCGGTCATATTTTGTTGGTCTTTTATAAAAGACACGAAGACAAGACCTGTAATATTTCAACTCAGAGGGACAAGACAAGAGTGAGGCAATATTATAATTTTTAAAATTTTTATATAACATATTTAATAGGTTTATATTCTATTAAAATTTTTAGAAAAGTTTAACCTGGTTCACCTCAACGTGGCTCCGCCATTGACTATCGTGGTACTTGATTGGATAAGAAGTTTATCGGGAAAGCATTCATCCGAATTGTCCCGCAGTCTAGAGTGGATCAAATACTAGCAATTAAGGACGTTGCTACTTCCCATGCAGGATTTTTTTCTTTTGTTTTTGTTTCTTACTTTTAAGTACAACAACAACTACTACAGCTACGTTGGATGAACTAGGATTTTGGTTGAATAGTTGTAAATGCCAAAATTGAGAAGTTGCATCGTCCACATTCATCCCGTCTTTTCAGGAAAATGCAGGCCATTACGGTCTTTTTTATTTTATTTTATGATAATGATAATATTTTTATAATTTAATTTATTACAATCTATCATTATTATTTCTTCGAACCTTTCATATTTGTGAGCAATACGGAAACATTTCAGCCAGCCTATAAATGTGTAATTGACGATTCATCCTTTTTTTTGCCCTTTTTCCTTAGAGAGTGCAGTGCACAATGCCGGTGGTATTTACTTCATTCATTTCCTTTGGTTGCCGTGGAATTTTGGAAAAGTTAAAAACTGTTTTTCTGCAGTTTTCACTACTGTTTCCTTTTTCTGGGCACCCCGTGACTCAATGCAACTTCTTCTTCTCAACCGTTTATTTCTTCTCTTCTCATCGTCACACTACTGCGACTGTAATCAAAATGCGTTGAATTCCCCCTTGTGATTGATTTGCAGGTGAAGCTTTTAGCCTTCTATTTTATTGTGAAGATAAAATAAAATATATTATTGTATAATGGAACCCTGCTCCACCAAACCTAACACCACTCGATTATCCTATAGCGGGAGAAGATTCGTAAATTATTGGTGTCCAAATTGCAAAACCGATTTTGCTTTGCTCAAGAGGGAAAAAAAAAAAAAG